TCTGATGGCTGAGTAATACTCCATTGTATATATGGACCACATCATCTTTATCCATTCATCTGTTGAAGGGCATCTCGGCTCTTTCCACAGTTTGGCTATTGAGGACATTGCTGCTATGAACATTGGGGTGCATATGGCCCTTCCTTTCACTACATTTGTGTCTTTGGAGTAAATACCCAGGAGTGCAATTCCTGGGTCATAGGGTAGCTCTATTTTTAATTTTTTGAGGAACTGCCACACTGTTTTCCAAAGTGGCTGTACCAACTTGCATTCCCACCAACAGTGTAAGAGGGTGCCCCTTTCTCCACCACCTCTCCAACATTTCTTGTTTCTTGCTCTGTCAATTTTTGCCATTCTAACTGGTGTAAGGTGGTATCTCAATGTGGTTTTGATTTGAATTTCCCTGATGGCTAACGATGATGAACATTTTTCATGTGTCTTTTAGCCATTTCTATGTTTTCTTCAGAGAAGTGTCTGTTCATGTCTTCTGCCCATTCTTTGACTTATTTGTTTTTTGGATGTTGAATTTGAGAAGTTCTTTATAGATCTTGGATACAAGCCCTTTATCTGTAGTGTCATTTGCAAATATCTTCTCCCATTCCATGGGTTGCCTCTTTGTTTTGTTGACTGTTTCCTTTGCTGTGCAGAAACTTTTTATCTTAATAAGAGGAGAGAGAAGAAACATATGGTCCTCTCAATTGATCCAGAAAAAGCATTTGACAAAATACAGCATCCTTTCGTGATTAAAACTCTTCAGAGTATAGGGATAGAGGGAACATTCCTCAAGTTCCTAAAATCCATCTATGAAAAACCCACAGTGAATACCATCCTCAATAGGGAAAAGCTGAGAGCCTTTCCCTTAAGATCAGGAACATATCAGGGATGCCCACTCTCACCACTATTGTTCAACATAATACTAAAGTCCTAGCAACAGCAATCAGACAACAAAAAGAACTAAAATGTATTCAAATTGGGAAAGAAGAAGTCAAACTTTTTTCGCAGATGACATGATACTTTATGTGGAAAACCCAAAAGACTCCATCCCCGAATTACTAGAACTCATACAGCAATTCAGTAATGTGGCAGGATACAAAATCAATGCCCAGAAATCAGTTGCTTTCTTATACACTAACAATGCAACTGTAGAAAGAGAAATTAGAGAAATGATTCCATTTGCAATAGCACCAAAAACCATAAAATACCTTGGAATAAACCTAACCAAAGACGTAAAGGATCTATACTCTAGGAACTACAGAACACTCATGAAAGAAATTGAAGAAGACACAAAAAGATGGAAAAATATTCCATGCTCATGGATCGGAAGAATAAACATTGTTAAAATGTCTATGCTATCCAGAGCAATCTATATCTTCAATGCCATCCTGATCAAAATTCCAATGACATTTTTCAAAGTGCTGGACAAACAATCCTAAAATTTGTATGGAATCAGAAAAGACCCTGAATCACCAAGGAAGTGTTGAAAAAGAAAAACAAAGCTGGGGGCATCACGTTGCCCGATTTCAAGCTATATTACAAAGCAGTGATCACCAAGACAGTATGGTACTGGCACAAAAACAGACATATAGACCAATGGAACAGAATAGAGAGCCCAGATATGGACCCTCAGCTTTATGGTCAAATAATCTTCAACAAAGCAGGAAAGAATAGCTAATGGAAAAAAGACAATGTCTTCAATAAATGGTGCTGGGAAAATTGGACAGCCACATGCAGAAGAATGAAACTCGACCATTCTCTAACACCATACACAAAGATAAACTCAAAATGGATGAAAGACCTCAGTGTGAGACAGGAATCCATCAAAATCCTAGAGGAGAACATAGGCAATAACCTCTTTGACATCAGCCACAGCAACTTCTTTCAAGATACATCTCCAAAAGCTAGTGAAACAAAAGCAAAAATGAACTTTTGGGACTTCATCAAGATAAAAAGCTATATGTGCCTTTAAATATAAAGTGTGTCTCTTGTATATAGCATATAGTTGGATCTTGTATTTTTATCCATTTTCCCCTTTGTTTTTATTGGATAATTTAATCTGTTTACATTTAAAGTAATTATTAATAGTGAAGGACTTACTAATGTTATTTTTGAAATTTTTTTCTGTCTTGTAGTGTTCCTTTCTTCTTTAATATTTTGCAATTACAAACAATTCTTACAGTTCATTTCAACCTTGAGAATTAAAACTCATTTCCTACAAATCATCAGTAACAGAGGGAGCATGCATGGTAAAAGAAAAAAACAAACAAACAAACATATGCCCATCTGAACATTGTATACTGGAAGCATCAAAGCATCTGGACCTCTGCCTCAATTCTGTCTTGGAGTCATGACCAAGGAATTATTTGTTTAATTTAACAGCATCCTGAACTGATACCTGTATCTTGAAAAGGGGTTTCAGAATAAGTTGCTCTGATTACATTTTTTATTTGAAGTGATATTTGAGACATTTACAAATAGGAAAGAAAACTAATGCCCAAAGCAAACCGATTACTAATTATTCCATTTTTATTAAGGGAAAACTAATAGAAATATAGAGTTCACACACACACAATTTTTTTTTTATAAGCCTCATGTTTGTTAGGTTTTATCAGGGCTCTTTCTCCCTCTCCATCTCTGTGTGTGTGTGTGTGTGTGTGTGTGTGTATGCATGTTATGTTGGGTTTATTATTTCTATTATTTATTTATTTGTGTTCTATTAATTACCTAAGTTTTCTCATTTGGTATAAACAACAAGTTTTGATTTTACAATGACAGAATAAAAAGAATGATAAAAAAATAAATAGGCTAAAAGGAAGAAATTTTTTAAATCCTGAAGGAAACTTGATTGTACATTGCAGCAAAATTTCAAATGTTTTAATGAGTAGTACCTCTTGATAAAGATGTTTTCCAGGCATATTTCAATTGCTATGAGCCCAAAATGATAAAGAAGTGCAAGGAACTACAGAGAGTAATTGTTTGACCTGTGGTGGGTTGCTGGTGGAAAATGTAGAAACCTTTCTTCAGTTCCTGAAGTATTTCTTATGTGACAGATACACCTACGGGAAACCTGTCCCAGGACTTGCAACTGTAAGCATGTGCAGAAAATTATTTCATCCCACTTATTGTGAGAAGCCAGAGTTCTGTGAGAAATTCAGTCAACAGGTTAGTTTACAGTTTTCTCTCTAGAGGCTATCATTGTTGTCAACCATTGAGCTACCCCATTTTACTCAATGGAAAGAGGACATTGGAGTAAGCTTATCCCAAAATATTTACCACCAAAAAGGAAAAATAATTTCTATTCCTGGTCAATAAAATTCTCATTTTGATGTCTAACCCTTAGAGAATTTAAACACATGAATATTAAATTCCTGAAGGTCAGTTAACATGTTTAACCCAAAGAAGTTGTGTTGGCATCAGAAGGAAAATAATAGATTTGGTGACTATTGGTCTTAATCAGTATGGCATTTATCAATTTTTTTTTATTTCTCTCAGCTCAACAGCAATGGCTGCATCACCCAAGAAGTAAAATCAAATGTACTCCAGATTAAAAATATGGGTTATGAAATGCAACTTAAAGTGGAAGCCAAGATCAGAGAAGAGGGAACAGGTTTGAACTCTAAATTAATATAGGGGGTGAAACAATAAAATTGGTTTGTTTTCCATAACAAAATAAGGGTCATAGGAAAGTGGAAGGAAATGAATTTTGGTACTAGTAACTTCCAAGAGTACTTACTCTTCTCTACATATTTTTAGACTTAGTATTTACTGGAAATGGGACCAGTGAAATCACAAACATTGTAACCAGACTCAAGTTTGTGAAAGTGGATTCACACTTTAGACGAGGAATCCCCTTCTTTGGACAGGTAGAGTATACTGCAATTCACAAGTAATGAAGTACCCAGTTGTACCTATCTTCAGGGCACAATGATGTAGCCTACAACTAGTTAATAATATCAGTTAATTAATATGACCCAAACCATGAAGCCAAGCAAAACTACTTTCCTTTGTAAGTATCACTGATAAAATGTGCAATCACATACTACAGTATTTTGAGAATCAGAGGTATTATTTTTTTAGAACATATAGCTAATGAAGATGCTTAATATGATATGAGTTAATTATTATGTCAAACCTTTCTACCACCCATTTGACAATAAATATATTTCCACCGATATCCAGCCAGCTTCAGAATTTTAAGGGAATTTCTCACAAATGATTCTCAGTTTATGGCTACCAGTATCCTCCTTTATACCTGCTGTTCTATTTAGAAATAAATAAGTGGTTTTTTTATTTTTTTCTTTTTCAAATTTTTATTTAAATTTTAGTTAATTAACATATACTGTAATATTGGTTTCAGGAGTAGAATTTTGTTCATATAACTCTCAGTGCTCATCACAAGTGCCCTCCTTAAACCCATCACCCATCTAGCCCATCCCCCACCCTCTACCCTCCATCAACCCTCAGTTTGTTCTCTATCGTTAAGACTTGTCTTATGGTTTGTTTCCCTCTCTCTCTTTTTTCTTTTCCTTGCCATATGTCTAGACTGGATATGTGTAGTTTTATTTCTAGACATAGGAACTATAATTGTGTACATTTTATGGCCACTATTATTAAATTATTTTCATACTTGGGCACGTATTGCATGGAGCACTGGATGTTGTACACAAACAATGAATCATGGAACACTACATCAAAAACTAATGATGGGGCGCCTGGGTGGCTCAGTTGGTTAAGCGACTGACTGCCTTCGGCTCAGGTCATGATCCTGGAGTCCCGGGATCGAGTCCCACATCAGGCTTCCTGCTCAGCAGGGAGTCTGCTTCTCCCTCTGACCCTCTTCCCTCTCGTGCTTTCTATCTCTCATTCTCTCTCTGAAATAGATAAATAAAATCTTAAAAAAAAAAGAAAAACTAATGATGTACTGTATGGTAACTAACATAACATAATAAAAATTTTTAAAAAGGTATACATTTTATTTTTAACTAATAATTTTACCCCTTTTATAAGTATTTATAATTATTTATCCATTCCATAATTATTTCTTTAAAATTACTTACAATTTTTCTCAAAAATAAACACTTTTTGTGGGACAGCTTATGTGGTTTGTTTCAGGAGATGCAAAAGACCTGAGGATCCAAAAAAAAAAAAGGAGAAAAGGTGAAAGACATGAGGATACAAATAGGAAAAAAAATAAATTTTGTAGTCAATATAGAAGGGTTGTTTTCTGGATTTGCTTTTGCTTTTCTTTCAGTTATGGTAGCAAAAGAATTTGTTTCCATGAGTTCTGTCTTCTCTGAATATTATCCACATAACTTATCAAATTCTTTTCTTCTTTAGGTGCTTCTGGTGGATGGGAAAGATGTGCCCATCCCCAATAAACTTGTCTCTATCTCTGCAAATGAAGCAAATTATCTTTACAATGCAACTACCAATGACCAGGGTCTTGTTCAGTTTTCAATCAATACTACTAATATTTTGACTAACAAAATTTCTGTCATGGTAAGTATGAAAGAAAAAAAAAAACCTGAGGACAAAGAGAAACCTTATAACAATCATTTATTCAGAAGTGAAGAAGCACACATATTGTATTTGAGAGAGAGAAATAAGAAGCTGTCCAACTTAGGGATAAACTTAGGAATTAAAAATTTAATTAAAAACAACAAAAAATGGTAGAAGAGATACTATCAAAGTGTCTGATCAATTCATTAGCATTATCTTTAAAATTTTATGTATTATGCAAAAAAAATCTTATAGGATTTGGTTCTGAACCATATCAATTCTTCAGTGGGTAAGTAATTCATGTAATTTGTTTTATGTTGTTTTTTCTATGTCCACTCAGATAATTTGAAGAGTGATCAGAACCCCCACACACACTTAATATATTTGCCTAATGATGATGATCAAAAGATTTCTACAACCAAAAAGATTTTATGCTTGTAGTTTCAAACAAAGAATTGGTGAAAGACAATGATTTATTGATTCCAACTTAAACAGCATTTAAATTATTTCCATTTCCCAAAGTTCACATGTTAATTCAATTTAAAATATGGAACGATGCTTAATGTTTTCTAAGTAATAGATACCTGCTTTTCCTTAAGATTGAAAAGATAAGTGGAGTGTCCCTATATTTGAAACTCTATAATGATAGAGTTAACAGAGCTGTAAATTATTAGTATGATATGCTTAAAAGCAGTAATAAAAAAAAAACAGCAGGAACTTTATCATGAGAGCAAATAGAAAGGTCCCCAAAATAAACCTAATAAATCCAGAAAAAGAAAACAAGTGTATCCATAAAATAGCTAAAGAGCAACCACTACAGGGGAAATAAATGGCATTATCTGCTAAACACCATCGGTAAGGCTTAAAGGTCCAGAAACTCCAAGGCCTTGAAAATCAAGTCATAATAATGATAAGAAGCATAGATGATAATTTGCTGGGATTATTTATAAACAATTTTGAAGCCCTTATAGTTATAAAATATTACATTAATATATATAACATAATTTTTTTTTTTAAAGATTTTATTTATTTATTTGAGAGAGAGAGAAATTGACAGAATGAGTTGGAGGAGGGGCAGAGGGAGAAGCAGACTCCCTGCTGAGCAGGGAGCCCGATGTGGGACTCGATCCCGGGACTCCAGGATCATGACCTGAGCCGAAGGCAGTCGTTTAACCAACTGAGCCACCCAGGCGCCCTATAACATAATTTTAATTAAACCAACTTACATGGGACTTCTATTATCTAAAGATTTCCTTTTCTGCTTACTATGATTATTTACCACTCTCACTGGGACGTCATTGTTCCTCTGGCCTTGAGCCACAGAAGAAAAGATAAATCAGTGATGATTTAGCAGAATCAGGGCAAAGGAGATTAATGGGTAGATTATTTCCTTTTAATCACTGCAATTTGGGAAGATGATCATTTGTTTCTTTGGTGGTCAACAGGGATGAGGGCGATGCTTAGTATGTTAGAAGGGAAGACACAAAATTTTAACTCTTCATTTTGATGGGAAGCTAAAGTGAAGAATTTCAAGATGTTATTGATTCTTTGTTTTTCTGTTTTACCAGGCCTACCACATGCAACCTGACTTGTGTTTTAACTCTGTATGGCGACGAGAGGAACACCAGGCAGCTCAGCACATTGCAAAGCATGCTTTCTCCTTACATGGGAATTATGTTCACCTGGAACCCATGGCTGGTACCCTGCCCTGTGGCCAAACTCAGATTATCAAGGCATACTATATACTCAATGGGAAGGCCACTGGGGAGCCTAAGGAGCTCATTTTTTATTACCTGGTAAGAATAAGGACACAAAATATATTTGGAGTTTATCAGTAGACAAAAGTGGTTAACGGGCCAGGAAAAGTGGTTCACCGGTGCCCCACCAACTTCCTTTCTCATCCATGTTCCCCTTGATTCTTTCATTTTTATGCAGTTCATTCTCTCTAGCAGAGATTCAAGAATCCAAGGCAGGTCATGTGGGGAGTAAGATGTTGAGAAGTGTGTTAGGCTCAAAAAGGTTGCTTTTTTGTTGATTTTTCATTTCAGATCATGGCTAAGGGGAACATCGTCAGATCAGGGACACATGTTGTGCCTATACAGCTAAGAGACTGTGAGTATCCTTAAATTTGCTCCCCCATATCCTTCCCAACACATCGAGCTTCACACGTCAGTGACAGCTTACAAATGGGATATTATTCCCATTATCCCTTTATAATAAGGACACAAAAGATGCTCTCCTTATGAACTCTAACTTTTTTTTATTCAACACAGTCAACAGATAAATTGGATTGCCTCCTAAGGCACACTTTTTTCACTTCAGTGTGTTTCTTCTATCTGACATTTAAATTAGAAACTTCTGAAAATCTAAGCTTCCTTCTGTTTTTTAACCCTAACAATAAATGTGAAGTGGTCATCTTTAATTTTAGTATTGCAGAGAAGAGAGTTAAGTATCATGGAAAACAGCAAGGAAAAAGATGATGGACTGGTTTTTTTTCCTATGCTGGGCCCTGGGCTAGGCTTTCTTCCCTCAGGAAATGCTCTCTTCCTTCAACAATTAATGGGGATGCTTACTGTGTGTGCTGCAGGCATGAAACTGTGAACTCACACGTGATTTTGAGTGCACTTCATGAATAAGTTGGGGGAAGGAAACAGGATTATTTTCTATCTTAATTAAATCATGTCAGGATTTAAATCACTGGAAAAAGAACCCATGAGCATTCTTGTAATTAACTGAAATTAAGGCAAATATTTCACCAAACTCCACCTCGACCCAGAGCTAAACTTAACAATGGTTGGGATTTGTTCCATAGCTGTGATTTTTTAAAAAAGATTTTATATATTTATTTGAGAGAGAGAGAAATTGACAGAATGAGTTGGAGGAGGGGCAGAGGGAGAAGCAGACTCCCTGAAGAGCAAGGAGCCCTAAGCAGAACTTGATCCCAGGACCCTGGGATCATGACCAGAGCCAAAGGCAGACGCTTAACTGAGCCACCCAGGCACCCCATGATTTTTTTTAATAGTTCCTTTCTCTATCAGGCTGAAAAAGTAAAACATCAATTATATTTTTGTTTTTCCATATTGAAACTATACTGGAGGAGGTTTAATTAATTTATTTTTATTAACATATAATGTATTATCTGTTTCAGGGATACAGGTCTGTGATTCATCAGTCTTACACAAATCACAGCACTCACCATAGCACATACCCTCCCCAGTGTCCATCACTCAGCCACCCCACCCCTCCCACCCCCCTCCACTCCAGCAGCCTTCAGTTTGTTTCCTGAGATTAAGAGTCTCTCATAGTTTGTCTCCCTCTCTGGTTTTGTCTTGTTTCATTTTTCCCTCCCTTCCCCTATAATCCTCTGTCTTGTTTCTCAAATTCCTCGTATCAGTGAGATCATATGATACTTGTCTTTCTCTGATTGACTTATTTTGCTTAGCATAATACCCCCTAGTTCCATCCACATCATTGCAAATGGCAAGATTTCAATTTTTGATGGCTGCATAATATTCCATTGTGTATATATACCACATCTTCTTTATCCATTCATCTGTTGATGGACACCTGGGCTCTTTCCATAGTTTGGCTATTGTGGTCATTGCTGCTATAAACATTGGGGTGCATGTGCCCCTTCAGATCACTACATTTGTATCTTTGGGGTAAATACCCAGTAGTGCAATTGCTGAGTCATAGGGTAGCTCTATTTTCAACTTTTTGAGGAAACTCCATACTGATTTATTCGTTTGAGAGAGAGAGAGAGCACGAGCAGGGGGGAGAGGCAGAGGGAGAAGCAGACTGGAATCCAGAAATGGGGCTTGATCCCAGGACCTGGAGATCATGACCTGAGCCAAAGGCAGACACTTACCTGCCTGTACCAGCTTGCATTCCCACCAACAGTGTAGGAGGGTTCCCCTTTCTGGAGGATGTTTAATTTGAAAGAAAGTACTAATTAGTACTCTCAACAATTAACTGTTGTGGGGGCACCTGGGTGGCTCATTTGGTTAAGTGTCTGCCTTCAGCTCAAGTCATGATCTCCAGGTCCTGGGATTGAGCCCCACTTCTGGCTTCCAGTTCAACAGGGAATCTGCTTCTCCCTCTGCCTCTCCCCCCTGCTTGGCTCTCTCTCTCTCTCTCTAATGAATACATAGAATTTTTATAAAAAATTAACAATTGTTGGGGCACCTGGGTGGCTCAGTTGGTTGAGCGACTGCCTTTGGCTCAGATCATGATCCTGGAGTCCCGGGATCGAGTCCCGCATCAGGCTCCCTGCTCAGCAGGAGTCTGCTTCTCCCTCTGACCCTCCCCTCTCTCATGTGCTCTCTCTCTCTCTCATTCTCACTCTCTCAAATAAATAAATAAATAAAATCTTTAAAAAAATTAACAATTGTTTGAATTAAATGTTAAAGAGTGCTGCCAACTTTGAATATCATTTATCCCAATATTTATATAGGGATAGTTTGATATAGAGAATGGACCCACATGTGCATTATTTCCCTTCAATGCATCATATAGCCTATTTTTCTATTTTCTTACAATAATGGAACATATAACACCTTTATAGAAATTGATGAGTGTCTTAAAACATTATATGTTTATCTGATTTTTCTTTCCTGATGTTTTAATATGTGCATCATTCGGAAAAGGATCTCTACATAATAATATAAGGAAGAGTTTATTCATTATTTACTTCATGTAGACATCACAAAAAAAGTAATGCAAGTAACTCAGCCAATAATTGAAAAGAATTTCTTTATATACTCAGTGAATTCACAAGTATTTATAATAAAACTGTTTTAACCACACATTGTAGTTATGTTATTAATTACCAGTTTGTTCTTCATAAAGATGTATGGAAAATCGACTCTATTAGTTAAAAGAACCAACTCTGTTCACAATTTGTCTAAATTCAACTTTTTCATAGCTTGCTCATCTTGTCCTTTTCTTATACTATTCTGCAGTTTTAACCTCATGGTGCAAATTACTAATTTCAGAACTATTTCTGAGTCTGTTTTAAATTCAGAATTCAGATTTTAAATGACAAAATCTTCACAAATTTCATCACTAAAAGGTTACTTCCCTTCCAATAGTCTCTGGGGGAAAAAAATCTGCCATGACTTCTCTATTTTTATGATGCTTCAATCTATTCTGAACTACTCTTGCTCATTCCCAGACATGGCAATACAAGGATTTAAACTACCCTCCTATTAGAGAGAAACTTATTTCCTTTTAGGGGTCTAAGTTGAACTTGATCCCTCCAATGGGACAAAAATATGAATGCCCTGACACTGCCTTAGTCATTCCCAAGGGCGGGGTGTGGTGGCGGGGGGAGACAGGAGAGTTGTTTTTAAATGAGCATAGTTTCAGATTTGCAACATGAGAAAGTTCTGGAGATCTGTTTCACAACAACGTGAATATACTTAATACTACTGAACTATACACTTTAAAATGGTTAAGATGGTGAATTTTATGTGTTTTTTCACCACGATAGAAAAGACATATATTTGAAAAAAAAAAAAAAGTGAACCCTATGATTATATCTTATAAATTATAGCTCTGAATTTAAATTGAGAATCACCTCTGGCCTGCAGTCTAAGTGAAATGGTTTTCATTCATCATATAGATATATGAGATATATACTCATTATATATATGACATATATAAGAACTTCCTTATTCTATAATTTTTAACTGAGTCCGGCAGACTTTATAAAATATTTTGTGTATACATACATATGTAGAATAATTTTGAACTATTCTGACATAAGTTGTTTACCGCCTTAGTTAAGTGGAAATCAGACACAGACTTGAGTGTAAGGAATTTTTACTTATTCTGGAATTGAAGTTGTAAAGGGACACATTAGCCAATTAATTTCACCAAATAATTAGAATGACATTAAAGAGCCTATGCCATTGAATGAGTAGGCACAGTTCTAAACTGGGTTAAGATCTAACAGTGTTCTGACCCATGACCGTCTTGTCTCATTTTCTCCATGTCCCCGTAAAAGGCAGTTTTTCCTTATCCTTCCCTGTGGAGTCGGACATTGCTCCCATTGCTCGATTGTTCATCTTTACCATTTTACCAGACGGAGAAGTTATTGGAGATTCAGAGAGCTTTGAGATTGAAAAGTGCCTAGCCAACAAGGTGAGGGTCTTCAGCATAAAATCACAAAAACACAAATAAATAGTACTATAAGTATCACCCATTTACCTCAGAGAAAACGGGTCCAGAAAATTAAATGAGTTGTCCAAGGGTTCCCAGCTAGTTAATGGCAGAGCCAAATCTCCAGGCACCTAGCAGAGTACTTTTTCAACTATGTCAAATTGCTACCACATAAAACATAATTCAATCTTGTGTCCATGATGCCCAACTCCACTGATTCAATTGCATGAGGTATGTATGATGCTAGGACTCAGAAGTTCCAAAAACCTTAAGGACAAATACAAATACCTAGAATCACCTTATAATGGATCAGAGGTAAAGACAGGCTTCTAAAAATCAAACAAGCTATTTACCCCTTAGGAGGTATCAGTTGTTCCTGGAGGATAAGACTGAGCTATTGAATAAACCTTTTCAACAGTAAAGGCAAGATGGGAAAAGACGTTCCTGACTTGACACCCCGGCAGTCCTATAAGGCTAAGGTAAAGATGATTCAGGACATGTGGGTGACTGCAGGATCGCAAAGATAGAGGACATGCTGGCTGACTTTTCCTTCTATTCTCACAGGTGGACTTGAGCTTCCGCCCAGCACGAAGTCTCCCGGCCTCACACGCCCACCTGAGAGTTTCAGCTTCTCCTCAGTCCCCGTGCGCCCTCCTCAGTCCCCGTGCGCCCTCCGTGCGGTGGACCAAAGTGTGCTGCTTGCGAGGCCCGAGGCTGAACTGTCCACGGATTCGGTGAGTTCCCGGCAGCCTCAGGGTCAGGAGGGGCTACTGGAGGGGCGGGAGGCGACAGGAGGCAGGAGAAGCCCCTCTTGAGAGTAAAATATAGTCACCATTGTCTAATTTTTTATAATTTCTCGAGTTTTCTCACATACATTTTCTCATGTGATCCTCCCCAGATCCCAGGGAGTAACAGACACATTTTAAGATGTGGAAACTAAGAGAATGTTTGAGAGATTTGTGCAAGATTACCAGAAGTACATGACATAGCTGGGCTTCTGAAACTGCCCACAAGCTTTGATCTCTTCCCTGACATAACTTCTTTTTCTCTAGAGAATCAAATCTAAATCTGTTACTCATGCTTTACAATGATATTAATGAAAGCTACGTGATTTAAGATTCACCACTTATGTGATGGTCTTATTTAAAAAAGAATTAAAAATGGGGCACCTGGGTGGCTCAGTCAGTTAAGCGTCTGCCTTCGGCTCAGATCATGATCCCAGGGTCCTGGGATTGAGCCTGGAATCCGGCTCCTTGCTCAGCAGGGAGCCTGCTTCTCCTCTTCCCTTTGGCCTACCCCCTGTTTGGGCTCTCTTTTGCTCTCTCTCTCTCTCAAATAGATAAAGAAAATCTTTTAAAAATAAAGAAAAAAGAAAAAAGAATTACTAAGTTCCCAAAGAATTAGATAATATGGATCATACCTAAAAAAATCATTTTTGGTCAATTGAATAAGTTAGCTTTTTATAAAAATTGATATTTACAAGCATAAGTCATGAACCTCCCAGTAGATCTATTTTTATTTCTAGAGTTCTTGTGCTCTATGAAATTGAAAGTGATTCACAAATTATTTTCAACTTAAAAAAAAAATGACCTACTACATCTTTGTCAGCAATGATGAAACACAGACTAGAATTTTAAGTCTCTTCTTTTTTTTTCTAGAATTGTATTAATTCATAGTGGTAATATTTGGTGTATCATGCTGATCTTTATTTTCTTCATCATCATCATCATCATCTTGCAGGCACACCACATGCTGGGTCTGTTTTAGGAGCTGGGGAAATAGTGGTAAACAATCATAGTCCTTGTCCTTAGAGAGCTGTCTTTTTTTTTTAATATTTATTTATTTATTTGACAGAGAGAGACACAGCGAGAGAGGGAACATAAGCAGGGGGAGGGGGAGAGGGAGAAGCAGGCTTCCCGAGAAGCAGGGAGCCTGGCGCGGGGCTCGATCCCAGGACCCTGGGATCATGACCCGAGCCAAAGGCAGACACTTAACGACTAAGCCACCCAGGTGCCCCAGAGAGCTGTCATTTTAAAGAAACTATAATAAGAGATTACATGTGGCTCAGAAAAATAAAAGGTGAAAACTTGGTTAGCAATTAGAATTAGGAGAAAGGACTTTCAGACATGGGATTTTTGAAGAGAAAACTATCAGAAGGAAGGAAACTTCAAGAAACAACTTTTCTAACCCATTTAAAACTAGATTACTAATATTTTGAAAATGTTCAGTATGATGCAAGAAGAAAATTAGAATTTGATCATTGTCAAAAAGTTATCACTGGCAAATTTTATAGCTTTCATTGCCTTATGCATCAATGTTCAAGCAGATCAACTAATTAACTTGCCTATTTGGGAGTTATTATTACTTATCAATATTGGAGGATAAATCAGTAATATTGAAGTTCCTTCTGGTTTTGTTCTAGTATCTACTTCTCAAAATTCATTTATATGTATTATATTTTTTTTAAAGATTTGTTTATTCATCTTGAGAGAAAGAGAGAGAGAGAGCATGCTCACACACAACTGGGAGGGGCAGAGGGAGAAGGAGAGAATCTCAAGCAGACTCTCTGCTGAGCATTGAGCCCAGCACAGGGCTCTATCTCACAATCCTGAGGTCATGACCTGAGCCAAAACCAAGAGAAGGATGTTTAACCAACCGCATCACCCAGGAGCCCGATATGTATTAAATTTTAAAACTGTAAGATAAATATATCAAGAATCACTATCCTGTTTCCAGTCATCAAAATTAACATTCTTCAGAATGGAGGGTATAATCAAAATTTTTCTCAAACTTGTCTTTTATGACAGGTCAAAATATCTCCTCATAGCATAATAATTATTACATAAAAGACATATTTCTCTGACTAGAGTTCTCTATTTGAATTAGAAGATGGCATGAGGAAGTTAACCTGAAAAGTAGGGAATTTTCTCCTGGGTGCTTTCTTTGGATTATTTATTTGAGAGAGGGAGTAGGGGGAGGAGCAGAGGGAGAGAATTTCAAGTAGACTTAGCACTGAGCACAGAACCCCACAGAGGGCTTGATCTCAGGACCCTGAGATCATGACCTGAGATGAAATCAAGAGTCAGACGCTTAATCGACTGAGCCACCCAGGCACCCGGAGGAATGGCTTATTTTTTTCTTATACTCTGTATTTATGGTAGCCTATTCTAAGCTGTTTTTTAGCTTGTGTTGAAGGAATTCAGTCTACTTTTTATGTTTTTATGTCTATCCTATTTTGTGTCATTATATAAATTTAATAGTTGCTTCAGTTGCACTACACAGCCTTGAATATTATAGAGGTAAGAAAGGATTATGAACATAACTAGAGATTTGGGTTCTTAAAATTTTAAAAATCTTTAAGTCACTTGCTTTGACAATAACCTGGAAAATAGTCATTCACCCAATATAGAGGATGCATGCTCAATTTATGTGACCATTTGGTTCTCCTACTCAAGAACAAAGTAAATAGATAAAGTTTGAAGGGTTTTTGTGGTTAGTTATCTATTGCTTTATAACAATCTTCCCCAAACTTAGTGGTTTAAAACAATAAACAATTATTATCATATGCGCTTTCTGTGGATTAGGAATTCCGAAGTGACTTATCTGGGTGGTACTGGCTTGTGATCTCTCACGTCAGTCCACATGTCAACATGTTAGCTAGGGCTTCAGTCATCTAAAGACTTGACTGAGGTTGGAAGTCTACTTCTGAGATGTGTTACTCATATAGTTATTGTCAGGAGGCCTTAATTCCTCACCACCATCTCTTCCATAGGGCTGCCTGGGTGTCCCCACAACATGGCAGGCGATTTCCTCCAGAGCAAGTGATCTGAAAGAGAAGCTAAAGCTGCAGTACATTTTATGACCTGGGCTTGGACTTTATACACTATCACTTCCACAAAATCTTTTAGTCATAGATGTCAATCCTATTCATTATAGGAGAAACTGCACAAGAGCATGAATACCAGGAAGTAGAGATTACTGGGGGCAATTTTGGAGGTTGTCTTCACAGTCTGCCCTCTAACTCCCAATGATTTATGACCCTCCCACAGGTAAAATACACTCACTTTCCTTCCAAACTCCTAGATGTCACATTCCCCAATAGCAACAGCTCAAAGGTTGAACTTCATCATTTAAATTAGGTCCAGGGGCAGATGATATTTCTTGGGTGTAGTTCCTCAAGTACAATTCCTCTAGGTAGGAAGACCTTGAACTAAAGTGTACTTAAGTTATTTACCTCCACACATCCAGCATACAATGGTGGAACTAGCATACTAATACTCCTGTTCAAAAGGGGAAACAAAGTCACATGGGAGTTATTGGTCCATGGCAATTCTGAGATCCAGCCAAAGGTTCAAAGTCTTTTGATTAGGACTTGTCTTACTCCAGCTTAGGAAATAAATATCCAGGCCTCTTGACTCCACTCTGTGGATTCTTGGTTCTTTCATTTAAGTCATCCTTGTTCAAAAAAAAAAGTGGCCTGTGTTCGCAATTGTGTAGACATTGTTCTATTGAATATAGATGATATACATTCATTTATGTACCTATGTGGTTCTTCTATACAAGAACAAAGCCAGGGCACCTGAGTGGCTCAGTCGGTTAAGCATCTGCCTTCAGCTCAGGTCATGATCCCAGGGTCCTGGCATCGAGCCCCGCATCAGGCTCCCTGCTCAGCAGAGAGCCTACTTCTCCCTCTGCCTGCCACTCTGCCTATCTGTGCTATCTCTCTGTCAAATAAATAAATAAATAAATAAATAACAAAGCCATATAGAAATAGAAGCTTAATAGATTGCAATAATCCTACCTAAATTTGTCAGAGTATTAAGTATTCATCAAACACACAGACAATTTAGATCTCCTTCCTATATTTGGTCTAGTTTTACCTCTAGAGTGAAATTTTCATTAATCCTCGGTAATTTCAGTTTTATTATTCCTCAGAAACATTTTCCCAGATAGGTTTTATATCATTAGAACAAAAAAAACTGTTAAAAATAACAAACAACAATTTTAACTTTTCTTTAAGGTACCAACTACTTGAAGGTACTCAAGAAAGGATTGGTGATGGGGGCACCTGGGTGGCACAGTCAGTTAAGCATCCAACTCTTGGTTTTGGCTCAGGTCATGATCTCAGGATCGTAAGATCCAGCCCCACATTGGGCTCTGCACTTAACAAGGAGTCTGTTTGGGATTCTCTCTCCCTCTCCCTCTGCCCTTCCCACTCCTGTGTGCACTCTCTCTCTCTCAAATAAATAAATCTAAAAAAAAAAAAAAAGAAAGAAAAGAAAGGATTGATGATGATTATCATATTTCTCTCAGTTCCCTGGATATTTCAAAAGAAAAACAGGTAAAATTCTGTCTTTGATCTCTCCACTGTTACAGGTATATAATCTGCTAACTATGAAGGATCTTACTTATTTCCCTGAAAATATGGACCAGCAAGAAGAAGAACAAGCAAGTTGTAGCCATCCTTATGTCATTCATAAAGGAGCCATCTATATACCCTTACCAACTTATGATGAAGACTATATGTATCACTTCTTAAAGGTAAAGTCCTTATTACTTATTAATGTACCAGCTTATGAATGTTTTAATGTTAGTAAAACTGTATATAGTTTTATATATATACATATATATATATATAGTTTAGAATTGTTTAGCCTGACAGTGGATAAGTCAGAGCCAGGGCTAGACCTAACCTCTGCCATTTCATTGAAATAATTTTGTTATATTTAGTTTATTTGCAAAAGGCCATAAGTAATAAAATCTTAATAAGCCATAAAGTTTATAATTTTACCACTTTATTTAAATTTATTGAGTTTGGGTATCTCCGTGAAACTAATTTAACATTAAGGCTATTGGGGTTACTTAGGGACATTATTAAGGAAAATATATTTCATATAGTCTAATCAAGTTTACAAACCTATTAAGTCACCATTTTTACAGGGTATGGGATTAAAGGTGTTCACCAACTCTAAAATCCAAAAACCACAGTCATGTTCAATGATCCACCCACCTGTAGGAAGAGAAGGGCAACCATTGATGGCAGGTAAAATAACGTTACTTTCAATTTTGTATTACATCCAACAATATCACTTTGCAAAAAAAAAAAAAAAAGGTAAAATGAGATAGATAGTGTAACCATTTTATACATAGAGAAACCAAGATTCAGTTAAGATGTTTCTTGCTGAGATCATTTAGCTGGTAAACGGCATAGCCAGAAGTGACCAGAGTGTTTTAAAGTTGAGTCGGATACTTTAAGTTACAAAGGAAAAAGTTCAAGTTTAAACTATGAAAATTTGAAGGAGAAGGAAATTTTCTGGAATTTAATAAGGCATATGATATAACTAAAAAAAACTTATAAAATGTATAGATATAAATAGCTGAAAATTGAAATAGATATAATGAATAATAAATGGGTAGATGTAACTGAATCAAGTATATGATACAATGGGAGAGCTACAAAAACTAGAATATTTTGTGAAAGTTC